GAATTATTCCAAATTAAGCAAACTAGTCTATACTTGCTTGTGCGCATCACATCTTGCTTGTGCGCATCACATAGTAATGCTAGTTTAATAATCAAAATAAGAACGTATAATGTTTATAAAAATTTATATCATGATTAGTAGAGGCTGATCTTTGATCGGGCGGGCGGGGGTGCTCAATTCATGACCTTCCCCCTTCGTACCCAAGTTCCCAAGCCGAGGCAACTTTGGTGATGACAGACACATGGCCTTTGGCACAAGTCAAGGTTTCCTAAATTTTTTCAAAATAAAATATTTAGGTGGCGACTTTGTAATTTGGCAAAGCAGTCCAATTTTGGTATTATCTAATTTAAAATCGATTTTTCAAAAAGATTTTTCAGATTTGGACTTTTTGGTGTTTACCAGTTTCACTTTGCACTTGTGAGACTAGATTCAAAACTGCGGGAGTCCGAATTGTGAGGCCTTTCATTTCAAACATTTCCGAAACAGGAGCGCGAAAAAGGTGAGTCCACACATAGTTTAGAACAAACGCCTTGTGCTACTCGAGATGATTTATGCATGTACGTTGAATGCGGCAACTCTCTTTATCAATATTTCAAGCTTGTAGTTGTGAAATATTAGATATTTCAAACCGAATTGCAATTTATTACAATGTTAAATCTCATTTATGTGGTTAGTGGTAAATTCTTTGCCCTCGGATTTTTTCCAAAAATTAATATCTCAAACCCTAATTTTAATTGTCAATTTAATTTCTAAATTTCATTTAATTCTTGTTTAGTCATAAAATCTCTCAATCTTTTTAATCAAAATTAATTTAGGAATTTAGCAATTGAATTAGTCTAATTTCACATTTCTCCCGGTGGATCGATACCTGGACTTGACATTATTCTAAAAGAATTTGGAATAATTTAGTGTTTATATTTTATGTGTGTAACGACCCATCAGAGTCCCTTATATTCTAGCTACCCTACTCCCATCTTCGCTAGGTTGCTGTGGAAAATTGGTGTCTCTGGGCTTGTTATCAGCTCCAACTAATAAGTCTTGGGACCTGCTATTAGTACCAAGTTAATGAACTTTGGGGCCTGTTATCAGCCCTAGGCTAGTAATGCCTTGGGGCTTGCTATCAGCACAAAGTATTAGCCTCAACTTGTAGGGGGGCAACCTCTCCCAAAGGTTGCTATCACCTTGGTAGGATATTATCTCCGCAAGTTAGTTACAGCGGCTGCAGTTATTGCGGCAGTCATTTCCCGCAGCAAGTTCAAAAATTGCAGAACCGACAATATTGGAGATGGTGGAGCTGACAAAATGCCTTCACAACTTGGGTGCTACAAGTACTGCTTCTGCAACTTAGTTGTTTTGATTTTGTCCTTCCCTTAACAACTCCGCATAGCGGCGGCACTGACAATACTTGTAATGGCGGCGGTACTGACAAAACTTGAAATGACGGCGCTGAGACAAAGTGCCTCCGCAACTTGGTCGTCGCAAGTGCTGCCTCCACAACTTAGTTGCTTTAGCTTTCTCTTACCGTCAGCAACTTCAAATGACAGTGGAACCGATAATATTGTGAATGACGGTACTAAGGCAAAGTGCCTCTGTAACTTGACCGCTGCAGCCTCTGCAACTTGACTTAGGCATTTTCTTTCGTAGAGTATGCTCAGACCCTTGGCGGGTCAGACCTGCTTCGGCCCACTGTTGGTTCACTTCCCTTGGGCTTTAGCCCATGCTCATTTTTTTCATTTTTGGTTGCCTCAGAGAGGCGACCTCAGCACTTAGGCCCATTCTTGATTTGGAGCTTAATTTTTGACCCTCTACACATTGGAGTAGGACTTGGTCGTTCTAAGATTAACCGAGAAGAACTTCTTTCTACTTTAAACACACACACACACAAAAAGGGAACGAGAAAACAAATAATAGTACACATTGCTGCCGCAGCAATGTCTCTAGTGGTGGCGGATAGTGCCATTACAAATTTGGGTTCCATTGACACTTTTTAATAGTATTCGTTTGGCAATGACTTTTTTAGTTGACTTTTTGACTTTTTAAACTTTTTTAGCCTAAGCCTTTTTTGGTCGTTTGGTATTTTTGTGTGGCTTTTTTTGACTTTTTGACTTTGGAATGAATTTTTTTTTTTTTTTTTTTTTTTTTTTTTTGATTTTTGTCCTTTTGTGATTTTTTAACTTTTTTTTTTATCCTTTTGTAATTTTTTAGCCCAACTCAAAAACCAAACAACCCCTTAATCGAATTTGCAATAAACGTAAGTATAAATTTATCCACATACAATAAGGAGTTGTTTGGGGTGTCCTAAATAAGTGTATTTTTTGTCTTTTTGGACTAAAAAGTTGAGAAAAAAAAGATAGATGTTTGGGTAAATTTTTTGACTTTTTACGAAAAAATATGTATTAAAAAATGATATAAATAAGTGTATAGGAGAAGTGATTGAGTAGCCGTACGGTACCTAAGGCAGTGTGGTTGGCTATTAGGAGTTGGAAAATGGTTGCCTCCTTTTCGGGCTTGAATTGGACGATGTTGTTCCCCCCGTGTAGGTCCACCACATGTCCCGTTTTGCTAATCGGAACCGTTAAATATGTAGAACTCGTCGAGTAATATATGCTTGTAAAAAATCACATTGATCAGATATCGATAGCTATCTAATTGTGTTAGTTTTTGTCGACCGTTAACTATAACACCATCTATTGTTTATACAAAACTGATTTAATCATGTAGCTATCTATATCCGATTAACGTGATTTTTTACAGGCATATAGTACTTGACGAGTTAGACACGTTGAACGGTTCAGATTGTCAAAACGAGACCCATGGTGAGCCCCCACTGGCCCAACATTTCCCTCAAATTTAATAAATTATATACCTAATTTTTTTTTTTTCCATTTGACAGCATTTCCATCTCCTGCTCAGTAGCAGTCACGTCTTTCTATTAAAATATGTAATAAATTAATTTTTTTATATTTTTAATTTGTGAATAGTGATAACTTTTTAACTTTTTTAATAATTTTTTGTCTTTTTAAATTTTTTTAGAGATGCCAAACTTGGCCTAAGTGTGCGAGCATTACACTTTGATACTCATGGGTTGGTTTTGTTGTTAGAGGTGGGACTGTATCATTGTCCAACCAATAAAAAAAATTATTCTCAACTAGTGTAAAAAATTTGTTCTCAATAAGTGTTGTTGAATATAGCGTGTAGAAAATTGATTTGAAACGGAAACCAAACATCATACTCAAACACACGGGTAGAAAATTGATTTCAGAGCACAACCAAACAGAGCCCTATATTTTCAACCTCAATTTTTTAGTCCAAAAAGACAAAAAGTGCACTTTTTTAGTCTTTCCAAACTTGGCCATAGTATCGTTACATTTACTAAATTTATTTAGTCCGAATGAATCTCTTTTTAAGAAGAGACTTATTCGAGTGAATTCAGACTAAACAAATTTGATAGATGAATCATTAACCTATTGAATATAAGGCTATGTTTGCTATGAACTTTTTTGGCTAATCATTTTATTTTTTTCCTCTCACAAAAGTCAAAAAATTCAAAAAATCTATCCCAACGAGATTTTTTAACTCTAAACTAAGAAGTCAAAAAGATAAAAAAAAATTAAAAACTAACCTAAATCCCAAACGAAAACTATTAAATTTAAAATTTTTCTTTAACTGAAATTTATGATGCGAACCCAGTCTAAAAGCCTCTCCATCCATTCACACAAATTTCCAACTCATTCAAACTAATAAATCTTTATATTATTTATTAGAAACCCAAGCCAACCTTTAATACACCATGTTTGCAACAATTACAAATGATCTTGTAGTCTTATTTCTTTTATAACAAACTATTCATATTTTTCTGGATAAATACTATAAAATTTACACTAAAATTTTATTACAAGTAATATGATTTTTAATAATGAGATTCTTATTCTTCTTTCTTGGTTCATGTCATCCAAAGGTAAACATATGCGTAATGATAATTTTGGCCTTATTTGGCGAAGGTTTTTTTTTTTATAAATTTTTTTTTTTTTTACTTTTTTGGGTTAGAATTCATAAAAAAATAAAATAGATTAAAATAATGAATAAAACAAATATCACATCAAATTTATAATTATTTAATTTTTTCTCTCACAAATATTATATTCAATTACAAAAAAAAAATTAATTATCTTTTCAAATACAAATATTTTACCCTACTTTATAAATAAAAACTAAAACAACTTAAGGGAGGCCTTTATCACATTTTATGATCAACAATCGGAATGGAATTTATCACTATAATAGTCATAAGCTTCCATTAAAGATAATGAATAAATAATAATAACAGAAGATATACTATTGTGGTAAGATAAAAATTACAAAATAATTGTCAATGACAGATATACAAAATTATTATAAGACATTTTGATAAATTCAAAGTCCACTACAAGAAATTAAGGTTTTAAAAATAAATATTTAAGGACAAAAATAATTTATCTACAAAAATTATATTTTTAAGAACAAAATAAAATAATTTTAAAAAATATATATTTAATCATATTACTACATTTTTTAGACAAAACTATTTGATTATAAATTAATCAATCACTTTTACCTACAATTTTAATTGGTCCTTAATAAATCCAAATCATATATTATTTTAGGACAAATTACATATACCCTCTCGAAGTTTAGTAAAATTATAGATATTTTTGAGGTTTGAGAAATTACAGATATCCCGTTAAAGGTTATATTTGCATAACAAATTAGGAGATAAATTGTTATAAAAATATAAATTTTAGGGGACAATTTATTATGAAAATATAAATTTTAAGAAGATATCTGTAATTTCTAAAATTTCAAAAAAATATCTATAATTTAACTAAACTTCGAAGGAGTTATATGTAATTTGTCTATTATTTTACTTTATATATTAATTTTTGAACTCACAGTCGGGACTATCAAAAACAAAGACAAAACAAAAAAAAAAAGCATCCAGGTATCACTCGTCACTCAGCATCCAGGTGTCACTCGTCACTCACTCACTCACTCTCTCTCTCTCTCTCTCTCTCTCTCTCTCAGATCCCTAATTTCGTTTTCTCTCGCAAATGCAATGGTTCTTCGCTAGATTGCTTCTGATCCGTTGCCGCCTCATCTCTCCTCGATTCTCCGTTTCGCGGCGACTCTCCGGTAACGATTCCGATCAGGTACCATATATTCATTTGTGGATATGAATCATGTAAGAATTTGTGATTCTGGTTAGATTTCCATAAAACTTCTTAGTTTGATGAACTTTTTCACTAGTGACACGTATGATTTTTTCTCCTGTTTTGTTGAATTGCATTGGACTTGATTTATTACATGATTTAGTGCTAGAAGCAGAGTTTGTTTATCTATGTGAGTGATTGCCTTATAAGTGAAACTAATCAATCTGATGGTTTCATACTTGGGAAAAGAGTGTTGCAATATAGTCCCTCAGTAAAAACAAATGCTAAATAATGTTTCTATTTCTTAATCTTTACACATCTTTAAATGCTTCCTTGCATGAAAATTTCTCTTAGAAAACTTATATGTAGCGAAAAATTAAGAATTTCAACATCATTCTTCTCCTTGCTTGAGAGCTTTAAAATTTAAACTGCAACAGCCGTGGTATGCTAACTCGCTTAGGGCTAATGAGTTGCAATAACATCTCTCTTTTGACTGAGGATCACATGTCCCTTTCTCTCTTGTTCTTTCGTTCATATTTCCTCTGTACCTCACAATTAGATTCTCCGTGATCTGATTGTGTGGCAAAGAGGGATTTTAAGGGACCACGCAGCTGCTATATGTCTAAAAATGGGGAGGAGTTTTCTATTTTTGCCTAATTGGTCTTGCAGTTTTCTCACCAACTTAATTTACTTTCCCAACAACACCCCTTTGGTTGGCTTTTAAATTGGTTAAAACTTACTCTAAAGTTGTTGTAAATGTGTATCTACACTTGAATGTGAACATCAAAACAGATGATTATCCTCTCATTATAGAAGGGAAGACAGGTCAAATATTACTTGGCTCCTCTGGTTTTGGCTCTTATGTTGTCTCCTCCAAGTAATGTGTTCTATATTTGCTGGGGGGCAAGGCCCTCTGTTGTTTACCAACCCACTTCTCTGTCTTGGTTTTTTGTGCTTTTTATGCTGCTAAATCACTTTCCTTTTGTAAATTCCTGTTTTGTTTGGTTTGATTTTATATTATGTTTTTTGATTTTGAAAAAAAGTAGTATAAAGTAGTTTCATTAAAACCTAAAAGATATTTTTTCGTCCTAAAAAAAGAAAATCATGTGAAATTAATGAGTTTTTTTCTTTAATTTTTCATAAAATTATTATTGTTATTATTATTATTTAAAAACAAATTTTGAAAACAAAACAAAACATAGTGAATCCTTTTAATTGAGCTGATCCAGCAGGTCTTATTTATCACATTTAATATTACTGATATGATGCAATCTTGTACACTGCTAATGCCTGGAAATCTTCATACGCTTTATTATATAAACACCCTTCTTTGTTGATTTCAGGCTTTTGATCACTTCCCTGAATTTTTTGGATGGCATTACATTGGATGATTTTCGGCATGCATATGCTTTAGGTACAAAATTTCATTCAAAATATTTACTAACCATGATTTTTCTATCCTGCAGTAAATGAATGTGATAATTTCATTTGATTCCCATATTTGAGCCATAATTTATCTGGAAAAAACTCATATTTAAGCCATAGAGCTTCTTTCCAGATGTTTTGTGTGTTCAGTTAAGTTTCATTGATAGTGTTTTAATTTTTCATCATATGGTTTGGGTTTTTATGCATAAATTTCACAATGAGTTTGTGTCAGTGGGCAATAAGATACTTTGAATGTGAATATTTGTTTTATGTTGAAATTTAAAATTTATATCTGTGCTGGAAAAATTTGTTCAGAATGAAATTAAACTTTGGATTTTATAATGTTTAATAATGTGCATACTTTTGTCATCTTAGTTCTCTGTTTACAAATTCTTAAGGAAAGAAAGAAAAATCTTTGTTTACTTGGGAGTGGTTCCTTGTTTCCTTTAATTTGAGAGAGTCGGAGCTCTGAACTTTGTCCCAGTTCAGTGATGTAAAGTGCAAATTTAAACTCATATAAATGAATCTGATTTATATCAAAAGAAAAACAGTGAGTTTGAAGGAGTGATGGGGTTTTTTGTTTTTTGGTAAGAAGAGTGGTTAAATGATTAATTGTTAGTAATTGCTTTTTTGTGCCTAACACGCTGTTCGATTTTAGTTTAATCTTTGTTAACTCTTGAATATTGATAGTGAATTTTGGGCGGCTTTGTGTACTAAGATTTATGTGTGATTGCTACAGATACTACAATTGGCACATTACATTGCAATCTATTAAATTAATTTGTCATTGGATAATTTTTAATTAGTAATCTATTTAGAGTTTGGCCTATTCTATGCAGGTTCTTTATGGTGATGGAAGGAAAACAATAGTCTGTTTAGTTTCTCATATTGGGAATATGTGAAATGTATTGAAATGTCTATATATTTATATAGTGTCTTGAAATATGTGAAAAGAGTATGAAATATATATATATATATAAAGTGTATGGGAATATGTGAAATGTGTATTGAAATTGTAACTTTTTTGGCGTTATGTAGTTCTTAACGAACACCCATTGTATCGATAGTTTGATATTTGTTGCTAATTTGAAGTAACATCGGATGGGAAGTTAACTAAAAATCAAGTGCTCAATGTGAACATGTAGTTCTTAAGTGGACAAAACAAGCCAAAAAAATCATTATCAAGATTTCACGATTATTATGTGGCCTTTTTAGATGCATATTTTTATCAAATTATGCGGGGAAAATTTTGCAGGGAAAACTTTGTGCTCGTTCTTTGCCCTCTACCTGATGAAATTTTAATTTGGTAGCATTTAGTTACACCATTAGTTATTTGCCACTGCAAAGCTGCCCTGTCTAGAGAAAACTCACCTTTTCACCTGAATTAGATTACTGCTTATGGGCATTTAAACTTCCACTCTTTAAAATTTCATTTTTTGTTTTGCAGGCATTCTTGCTTATATTTTTCTCTGAGCTAGGGGACAAAACCTTTTTTTATTGCGGTAAGGGAGAATTTATCAAATTTTTCATGGAATGTATCTGATCATGAATGTTTCAAATCAGACTCTGTGAATTAATTGAATGAACATGCTTGTGTATATTGTGTATGTTGGTGGACAATTTACTTTCCCCTAAAAAAACTTTAATCCCTAAATCTTAGCATGAGATCAAGTTTAGTACTCTCACCACATAAGCAATCTACTTTTCATCTGAACTTTGCTTCTTGACTGCAATGTGTTATGAGATTAAACAATTCTTAGCTTACTTCATTTTTTCTACTGTATCAAATTGTCTGCCCGTTGTTCTTAACTAAATTGGATTTTGGATGTTTAATGTCTTGGCAGGCACTTTTAGCAGCTAGGAACTCCAGTGTTGTTGTTTTCATTGGGACTTTTTGTTGGGATCTGGGATCCCGCCCAAGACCTTATAGAAATTATTCCATGCAGAAAAACACACCCACACTCAAGGAGACACAATATTTAACGTGGTTCGGCCTCAATGCCTACGTCCACGGAAGAGTAGCCGGTTATCACTATAACAATGGAGATATTACAGAAAGATTACAATAGAGAAGGAGCTCACACTCTCCTCACTCACCCACTCACCCGTCTCCCTCGCTCACACCGAGGGAGACGGTCTCTCCGCCTCACATATCTCACTCTCTGACTTACTCTGTTTTCTCACTCTCTCAATTAAACTCTCACCACAACCTCCATTTATACACTAACAGAGGGAGAGCTTGGCTGTCCATGCACATGGCCAGCTCTTTCTCCACATGTTGCATCTTCTTTCACATGGCCAACACATCTTTGTTGGCTTTGCACTCCTGCAGCACATGGAGGATCACCCCTCACATGGGGTGATGATATTCCACAAATCACCCCCTCAACCCATGTGAGGTGATCCACAACACACATTGCTGCTAATCTTGTCACGCCCAAATTCAACATAGTTTGCATCTCAGACACAATATTTAACGTGGTTCGGCCTCAATGCCTACGTCCACGGGAGAGTAGCCGGTTATCACTATAACAATGGAGATATTACAGAAAGATTACAATAGAGGAGGAGCTCACACTCTCCTCACTCACCCACTCACCCGTCTCCCTCGCTCACACCGAGGGAGACGGTCTCTCCGCCTCACATATCTCACTCTCTGACTTGCTCTGTTTTTCACTCTCTCTATTAAACTCTCACCACAACCTCCATTTATACACTAACAGAGGGAGAGCTTGGCTGTCCATGCACATGGCCAGCTCTTTCTCCACATGTTGCATCTTCTTTCACATGGCCAACACATCTTTGTTGGCTTTGCACTCTTGCAGCACATGGAGGATCACCTCTCACATGGGGTGATGATATTCCACACTTTTGGCCAATGAAAACACAGTTTCCCTTGTGTTTTGCTAATTACACCTTTGAAATTGTTAGCGATGCATAGCAGTCCCAGTCTTACGAATTTAAAGCACATGACACATGGCATCCTTTTTATATTCAAAATATCAGATCAACTACGTCAAGAGATATTTATACAATCAACTAAGGGACTAATGATTGTATATTTGGTGAAGAAATATTTTGAAATATAATTTGTTTCGTTTACCCACCTGTGTCTGTGTATGATGGGCAGGACAAACACTTGTTCAATATTTTTAAGTAGGTTGACTCTATCTGAAAAACACTTGTTCATTGCATAGCCTTCAAGTGCTTCCTCCTACAGTTTCTGTTTTGTTTTTTCTTTTGGGGTTTGGTTTGCTTTGGTTGAGCTCATATCTTTATTATACATGCTTGGGTTCTACTATTCATGAAGAATGCCTTGTTAATCTTCTCAAAAGCAAGAGGTGAAAAATGCTTTTATCAAACTTGTTTCTATATTTTAATTGGATAGAATACAAGTGAAATTCCTTTTTATCAAGTCAATATTAAATGTTTTTTTTTTTATTTATTTGGAATCAACCCAAGACCCAATCCCTTGCCACCTTAGTGGTAAGTTTAGGGACGATGTTTTAGAGGTCTCTTGCATTACTCTTTAGAAAATATAAGTAGAGAAAATTTTTTTGAAGAACGGATCGCATGAGAGACAAACAGTGGGGTCCATTTGTGTGTGACCCCCATGTATCTCACTGAGTCCCTTCTGTTAAAAATTAAAAAAAAAAGAAAACTTCTTTTGCATGCAACACAATTGCTCGTGTGGAGATGGATTTTGAGTAGCAAAAACGTACTTCTTGAAATGGGGTAAGATTTTATATATTTTTCTCAATATCATTTCAACAAGAGTCTCGTGAACTATGCTTTTTGGTGTGGACTGTATACATTAGGTCTGTTTGCTGAATCAGAAACACACGGGGACAGGAGCTTACTCGGGAGTGTAGCAGGCGATTTCGAAAAACATTCTCCTTTTTGTCTATATATATATATATATTTGCATAATTACATAGGAGTTATTCCTTTTATTTACTGTTCTACTGGGAAGTTTTCACTGGAAGTAATGTTTGTAATTGATTTTCTCTGAGAATGATGCTTTGATATAAATTTCTGGGAATGAGGAATTGATGAATTGAAAAATTTTCGAGAATGATGAATTTATATAAATATATATATTGAGAATGATAAATTGATAAATTTCTGGTTAATTATTTTTAATCGATGATGAATTGTTGCTCAATCTCTGCTACCTTTTGAATTCAAGTTATGGAGATTCCAAGGCCTAGCATTTGAATAAATCTATTACATTATAAATAGAAAGCAAAGGAGGAGAATGAGAAGGAAAGAAGGAGGTGGCGGACAGCGGGGGAGGAGGGAGAGAAATAAAGGGCTTGGCAGGGTAGCGTCGGCCGGATATGAGGGAAAGGAGAAGAGGGGTTGCTGCTGCTGGCGATAATGGTGGGTTCAATAGTTTTTCGAGAGAGCAAGGAGATCGGTTGTCAGTGAGAGGAAATAGAAATGAGGGTGAGAGGAGGTGATTGGATATCGTCGTTGTCGGTGGAGAGGTCGTCAATGGTCGGTGAGAGGAAAGGAGGGCGAGAGAGGGGATTTGTCTTGGAAGAGATGAGAGAGAGGAGAAAAGAAGAGAAGAGAAGAGAAGAGAGAGGGCGTGGGTTTTTTCCTTACGCACTGTGTTCCACGTCATTAGAGGTCTTTTAGTGGTCTTGAATTAGAGGTATGAAACATTTTTGTTATTTTGCATTACTCACAATGATTCATTCCACTAATTTGGAAACATTAATGGACCATTAATGAAGTGAAAATTCAAAAAAAAAAAAAAAAAAACGAGCAAAACATTCTATCATGTGGGACCTATACCACTTTAGAACTATTAATATTTCTCTTCTTAGTAGTCTCACTCATTTCTCTTTGCATTACCTGGTCGTTTTGTAATGAAAAGGCATTTTTACTTTTATAATAAAAAAACTAACATGGTGCCAATTACATTTTCCGTATATGGGATTGCTTTGGCAATCTAATAAAAAGTTAGTTTTTAATTTTTAATTTATTTTGGGTAATATTATTTTTCATATTTTTTATTTATAAAAAGATAAAATAATTAAAGAAAAAAAAATAAAAAGTCAATTTTTAATTAATTTCTTAAAACACTCCATGATGATCATATTTTTATATAGGCCTTATTTCGGAATATGATTATTTTAATAGATTATTTTAGTTCAATTAAAATAATTGTGTTTAAGAAATTAGTAAATTTTTTTTAACTGATTTGATAGTTATGAGAGAAAAAATAAAATAATTATGGATTAAATATGATATTTATCTTATTAATTATTTTAATCTATTTTGTCTTTAATCAATACAAAGTAACATTTTCTAACTTAAAAGATTTGACACTAGTTAATCCGGTATGAAATTCCTGTTGTATATGTGACACAATAGTAACTGTTGTGTTTCAATTTAAGACTTATTATGAACTTATTTTTATGATCAGAACTATTCATTTTGTAGAATTTGTTAAATACTTCACGTATAATAAAAATTATATTAATTAAATATCGATAATTACGTAATCGAATTATATATTTTTATACCCTAATCTTAATAGAAGCAGTCGTGTAACTTAGAATAATGTCATTAATTAAACACTGGCCTCGTTTGGGAACAAGTTTTTTAGTAACTTTTTAGCTAAAATGTGATGTAAAAAAAATTAGTATGTTTAGGATGACTTTTTGACTTTTTACGAAAAGATGTGCAAAAAGTAAAGAGAAAATAAAATCTTTAACTTTTTGATATGAATTATTGATTTTTTTAATAACTGATTAAAACTTCTGGAAGTTTATACTGGATGTATAACGAATTACCATTTGCACTTGTAAGTGATTGGGTTGTTTTATGAAAGTACTTAGTAGGGATTAATCCTTCCTAAATACAATTCATATCTGCACCACTATCAACAAAAGCAATGGCATCTTTTATGATAAAATCAGGTTTTCTCATAAAAGTAATTCTGATATACCATTTCTGGAAAGTAACAGTATTCATGAGCATGAGATAATCAAGCTCCTTAGTTTCTGGAATGGTTATGGATTCCGAAGTGGATCCATTAGTTTTCTCCTTATGCTGTATTTTATTATTAATCTTTTTAATCTCAAAATTAATAGCAATATTACAGGTCTGTAAATGTTTAACTTCAATTTTTAAAGCATTTACTTCCATTTTTAAATCCTGAATAATTAGGGTTTTTTCTTCTGTAACTGGTTGAAGTCGTTGAAAAACTTCTTTCATACTGTAATGTTGCGGAGGAAGAATTTCTTCCTTCTTTTGATACTGTAAACATAGTTCTAAGAACTTTAGTTTCATTTCGGGATTAGAAATATAATCAGCACTATTAATCATTTTCTGTTCTTCTTCTGTAAGAACATTAATATTGGGTCCTCCAATATTAAGTCCATTTATTTCAACTATAGCTTTCCAATAGTTGACTTCATCAGAAATTTGATTTATTTGGTTCTTACATTTACAAGTTTCTGGAGAATGATCAGAGTTATCTTCAGAATCTGTTGAATATAAGGCTGCAATTTCATCTTCATTATCAGAAGAAGTATCTAATTCATTAGAAAGCATTCTGAGAATTTACTGCTGGATATTGTCATCTAAGAATAGTTCATTAAGCTTATGTTGTATTTTAGATTTACAACGATTGACATAATGACCTATCTGGCCAC